AGACTGAGTGGGATTCTGCAGCTCGGTGATAGTAAGAGTGTAATATTCCCCATCCGGTGCACCAGACCTAGTATTGTTACAAATATGCCCGAACCTCGGAAGCTGTACCATAAGCACACCTGCGGGCTGATGAGCTAGGGCATTGGAGGAACCACTGGGATACTGTACAACAGGGAATGTCCAAGCCTCGGCCTTATCAAGCATGGCAATGCGCAGTGAGCCATCTGGCTGAGCCGATATTCTCGCCCCGAGGAAGAGACATGACCCATCTTTCTCAGTAGGGTCTGGCTGAGCCGAGATTCTTGCCCCGAAGAAGAGACATGACCCATCTTTCTCAGTAGGGTCTTTCCACTCGAGACATGAACCTATATGTGATGCATTTGCTTGAGCTGCGTGTAGATCCCGCTCACGAAGTCCATCCGCCGGCTGTGCCTCGTCCCAATGGGTACGTGTGTGTTGTAACCTCTCACCACAACAACCCCTTTCCACCTAGATGACTGCATCCAAGAACGAATCAGTTTTACGTGTATAGCAAGAAGCAGGAAGCACACTAAAACAGTAAAACCGTTACATGACTGGTATTGCTTTCATGTGCGCAGTCCTTTCTTCGTTTTCCTTACTTTGGCTTGTTTTAAGTTTGCTCTTTCATTCTTCTCGCAGCTTCTCTTTTACTGTGCCTCTAATGTACAAGGCTCGCCATGTTGATTGTGTTTTGACTGTGAGCTGCCGACATCCCTGGGTGTTATAATGGCTCACTTGCACGCTATGAAAAGGGGGAAGAGTAAAGGGGGAGGTATACTCCTTTTCATTTTTCAGCACACCGTCACGTCATATTTGTCTGTTCTCATAATGATGCTCATTCATGTGCATTTAGTACTGCTATACTAGGGCAGGGAGGAAGGAAAGGGAGAGGGGGACAAGTTCTACACGAGCGGAGGGAGGAGGGTGAAGGGGAAGATGAGGGAAGCGCAGGGACAACTAATAGAACAGAGGAAAGACAAACTTCACAGGGTTCTCAGTACTCTGGAATGGCACAAAAACCCAGTCAGTGCTTGGGTCTCAGAGAAATTGAGTTGAGGATCAGTCATTGCATATTGTAAGTGGCCACTCCTATACTCACCGCCAGATCAAACTACCATGGAATGACACAAGAAGCCAGTTGGTGTTTGGGTTGCAGAGAGGAGCAGGCATTGCCAACTGTCAGTGGTCAGCTAGGTCAATTGGGACCGGTTTGGGTGTGAAATGTGGAAGCACCGCATACAACTCTTGCAGTTGCAGTTGATGCATCGGATGGCATGGCGTAGACAGATGTCACAGGCAACGTGACTCCTACATGCTGTGTGTGTGTTGTTATGCTCACTGTACACAACTCCACAAAAAAAGGATGACTGTGCCAGGCAGTTATGTCAGACTTTTACCTACTCATCAGTAGGTCGAACCCCTGAGAACAGTAGCCGCCTTTCCTCGCACCAACCATGCAATGTGTGTTTTACAGAATCATCTACTATCAATACAGGATCCCCGAAGAAGCCTTACCGACAAAATGATGGAGAGTAAAAGGCTGGACACAACGCAGCTGAGCACACGCCCCCACAAGTCACACAAGCAATAACACGATGAAGAGTGCAAGGGCATTCCGATTAATGTAGTTGAGCGACCGTTTCCCATCCACAGTTCAAGATGCGTATGCAAGAAACCAGTTGCAAATGAGATTCACAGGGCCACCATGTGCTCGTATCAGATGATTCAGCTCATCCGGTGCATGTACACATTTACTTCCACATGCGCATGCACGTGGAAGGGGGTTAGTGCGAGTGAGTGCTTGTGTTTTATAGACTCGCCCAGGGTTGAATGCCGACCGCCGACCCCGACCGTCGACCATTTTGCAGCCGACCAGTAAGGCCGACCAGTCAGCGGTCTGCCGACCAGTCAGAAAAAGTCATTTTTTTCAAATCTGAGTTGGGGGCTGTACTGCGCTTGCTGAGTACAGCCCAAACCCGCTGAGGAAGTTTTGGGGATGGGGGGGGTATGGGGAGGTTGGGGGGGTGGTTTAGAGGGTTTATAGGGGGCTATAGGGA